TGAAGCGCTAGATGGTTGTATTTGTACAACCGCTGTTAAAAGTTCACGGGCCTTTGATCAAATCAAAGGTGTACAATCGTCAAATCAAAGGTGTACAATCGTCAAATAGGAAAATTTTTTTTGACAACCCGGGCACAATCCTTAAAAGTCGGCATATTTCTTTCCGCCCCCCTAATTTTTTGCTTCCCGTACGCCCATGGCATTTAGCACAATCCCGCAAAATATCTTTTGGGGACGCCATTTTGCAAAAATTGAAGCGCTAGATGGTTGTGTTTGTACAACCGCTGTTAAAAGTTCACGGGCCTTTGATCAAATCAAAGGTGCACAATCGTCAAATCAAAGGTGTACAATCGTCAAATCACCATTTTGCCAAAATTGAAGCGCTAGATGGTTGTGTTTGTACAACCGCTGTTAAAAGTTCACGGGCCTTTGATCAAATCAAAGGTGTACAATCGTCAAATCAAAGGTGTACACTCATCAAATCAAAGGTGTACAATCGTCAAATCAAAGGTGTACAATCGTCAAATCAAAGGTGTACAATCATCAAATCAAAGGTGTACAATCATCAAATCAAAGGTGTACAATCGTCAAATCAAAGGTGTACAAGATCAAATCAAAGGTGTACACTCATCAAATCAAAGGTGTACAATCATCAAATCAAAGGTGTACACTCATCAAATCAAAGGTGTACAATCATCAAATCAAAGGTGTACAATCATCAAATCAAAGGTGTACAATCATCAAATCAAAGGTGTACAATCGTCAAATCAAAGGTGTACAATCATCAAATCAAAGGTGTACAATCGTCAAATCAAAGGTGTACAATCATCAAATCAAAGGTGTACAATCGTCAAATCAAAGGTGTACGATCGTCAAATCAAAGGTGTACGATCATCAAATCAAAGGTGTACGATCGTCAAATCAAAGGTGTACGATCGTCAAATCAAAGGTGTACGATCATCAAATCAAAGGTGTGCGATCGTCAAATCAAAGGTGTACAATCATCAAATCAAAGGTGTACAATCATCAAATCAAAGGTGTGCGATCATCAAATCAAAGGTGTGCGATCGTCAAATCAAAGGTGTACAATCATCAAATCAAAGGTGTACGATCATCAAATCAAAGGTGTGCGATCGTCAAATCAAAGGTGTACAATCATCAAATCAAAGGTGTACAATCATCAAATCAAAGGTGTACAATCATCAAATCAAAGGTGTGCGATCGTCAAATCAAAGGTGTACGATCATCAAATCAAAGGTGTACAATCATCAAATCAAAGGTGTACAATCATCAAATCAAAGGTGTGCGATCGTCAAATCAAAGGTGTACAATCATCAAATCAAAGGTGTACAATCATCAAATCAAAGGTGTGCGATCGTCAAATCAAAGGTGTACAATCGTCAAATCAAAGGTGTACGATCATCAAATCAAAGGTGTACGATCGTCAAATCAAAGGTGTACGATCATCAAATCAAAGGATCATTATCATATTAAATGTACACTGTAATCATATTAAACGTGTACAGTCGTCGTATTAAATGTGCACATGATCATCTATTAGACAAATCATCGATTTGTCCAATCTACCGCGCCATACCCCCTCAGTATATTTGTATTTAGGAGCTTTTAACATATATTACATGAAGTATACCCTCTTGATTAGTCTTGAAATGCAAGGGATAGTGGCTCTTCATTTCGGCTTCCATCTTGAATTTTGTGTGAAAGTTCTAATCAAATATAATTGTTTAAATTGCGAAAACCTCGATCTAAAATGCCTAAATATCGTACTGGTTACTCGAAAAGCGAAAGTTTTGTGGAAATCAGTATTCAAAACAAAAGCGTGCCCGAATGAGCGAGAGGTCCTCGTCTCCTCGACAACAACATTAATACATCAAGCGTTGAAGATCAGTCGACTGGCTGAAAGTAGGCTACATGTGAAACTTCAGTGTCAGCATCAGCACGGAAAATTAATTTGGGTAACAAAGAGATGCCTGAGTTAAACAAAAGTGAAGTAAGTGGCTACCGATTTATAAATCTTGAGATTTTGGGAACTATATTTAAACTATTTACCCTGCAAGGAATGCCATGAATGTCAGTTGATGCTCATTGAAGAAGATCCTCATTGAATAGGATGTGCATCATGTCTTTCAGTTTGGTGTAACTCATGTGTATGTTCTGAAGTTTTTTATACCTCTGAAAAGCTTGGTCGTTGTTTTGAAATCAACAGAAGAATGACCTAGGCCATGAGGTTGATTGGTTGTGGGTTATCAGCAATGGAGAGGTTTTGTTCGACCATGAACATGCCACCGCCAGTTAACCCTAAAGCTTTTGACTACCATAACAAAGCGATATTACATGCTGTAAAAGATGTTACAGAAGAAACCATGAATGATGCAGTCCAAGAAATGCCCGTTTTGAACAGTGCAGAAGTTGATGAAGATAGAATTCTGAAAACATCTGTTTCATGTGATGCGATGGTATGTGACGAAGGAGGTTGCGGCATGGTTTGTCACTGTTATTTCCATGGAAACAGGCAAAATTCTTTACGTTGAATCCTTAAGCAAAGTTTGTAACAAATGTAAGAAGCATGAGGGAAAGAATACAACAGAAAATGAACTTTGGAAATGAAATGAGAAACATCAGTGTATCTCAGGCAGATTGCCATCCGGTAAGCGAAGCAAACTATTAGGAAATAGAAACCACTAGAATGCATCGAAAACTGCTTAGAGGTTAAAATAATAAGTTAGGAGGCAAGAACAAGGAGAAAAAATGTGAACCATATGCTGCTGGCTCTACTCTACTCTTTTCAAGAGGTTCTACTCCATTTTTTCATTGGCAATGTACGGTGGTTATTGACGAATAATTTTTAGAAAACTTTAAGCTTAATTTTCTCAAATTGACCTTTCGCGAGACGCCAAAAACTCTCCTGACGTTAATATATATCCAATCAGTCTCAAACTTTCAGTAATATATCTTTACTAATGCAGCCATATTGTGAACCTAAAGAACCTAAAAAATCTCATACCTAAAAAAAAATCACAATGTAAAGCCCTATTGTTTACCTTCACTTATACCGATTTTAGAGTATTT